AAACATAGGAACTCCAAAAGCTAAGCAGTTAACAAACATAAAGTTCTCCGTAGAGCAACTGGTACTATAGCCAAAAAAAATACAAAAGGTAATAACAAGAGGACTTACGGCAACAGCGGTAGCACATCAAACTCAAAAACCAAGTGACAAGTGAAGACAAGAGGGTAGAATATATAGGCTAGTCTAACAAGACACAGCTGAACCAAATTAACACAAATGAACCACAAACAGAAACACTGGGGAAAATGGCGACATCTTGTGGAGAAAACAAATAATAGCTCAGAATATGACAATTACTTTGTTATTTTACTATAATTGTGGTGCTTTTCCTGTTTGCAGTGATGTCCTTCTGCAAAATAAGTCTGTACTGCAGAAATTCTGTGTCTGTATTTTTTTTACATAAACTGTAAATTTTATAAAGCAATTTTTTTTCTTCGTTTTGAATAGAATTTTTGCCGTAAATGAAAGAAAATGCATGCATTTACTTAACCCAACGAAACAAAACTGTAACGAGGCTTCAAATATAAGGGCAGAGCTGAAACATAAACTAATGCAGTTTCTGTAATGTCAGCTGATGATAGTGTTTTTATTGTCAGTGTGTTCTGATTGACTGAATGTTTATGTTGGAAGAGAACATGTGTTAGTGTTTTGAACAATAATTTCATTTTGAAATATGATTGCAGTGTTTTGTTAGACATGGTGTAGTGTGTTCATTTATTATTGTATTTTGAAAAGTAGTTTAGAGGTTTAGTTTATAATGTGTGATTTTGAGCATAAAATTAACTGTTTTGCCAATTGTGTATTTTAGGTGTGTTGCTGCGTTAAGAGTTTAGCAAACTTGTTAAATGTATTAAAAAAAGTGTCATAGCCATTGTAAAAAACTGTAAATTCAAGATTTTAACTTTGAATGCACATTTTTATATTTATTGGAATCAAATTCAGCATCATCGATCACAATTTTGCAAACCTCCATTTAGTTTATATTATACGCAAATAAAAAGAGATGGATCCGGTTTTAAAACGCAGATTTGATGGTATTAACTTGTATAATGTCAAATGATTAATCATGATTAATTGCATCCAAAATAGAAGTTTATATTTACATAATTAACATAATTTTTTTTAATGCTGCATATACATTTTACAGTATGTCCTATAATATTTTTTCTTCTGGAGAAAAACTTATTTGTTTAATTTCGGCTAGAATAAAAGCAGTTTTTAATTGTTTTAAAGCCATTTTTAGTATTGTTAGTCGCCTTAAGCAATATTAGTTTTGGATTGTCTCCAGAACAAACCACTGTTATACAATGACTTGCTTAATTACCCTAACTTTACCCTAATTACCCTAGTGAAGCCTTTAAATGTGACTTTAAGCTGAACACTAGTGTCTTGAAGAATATCTAGTCTAATATTATTTACTGTCATCATGACAAAGAGAAAAGAAATCAGTTATTTGAAATGAGTTATTAAAACTATATGTTTAGAAATGTGTTGGAAAAATCTGCTCTGTAACACAGAAATTTAGTTTAAAATATAGAGGAATTCAAATTTAACAGGAGGGCTATTAATTATGACTTCAACTTTATATACAAAATACAAACTTTTATTGAGATGTGATTAATCATAATTAATCATTTGTCAGCACTAAAAATATTGCTTTAAATGATGCATATGAGAACTGATAACCTAAATAACACAAGCCAAATGTCCATCAACTCCTTTTGCCCAGAAAAAATTCACAAAGATGAATCAAATGATATTAAAATGTTCATTTCAGAAGAAAAAAGCAAAAGGAAGTGACTGTAGAAACACATCAGAAACCCACAACAGGAGCCTCCAGAGCAGATCATCATGTCACTGATTATAATGGGAGTGAAGCAGTTGTGCAGCACAGTGTGAGTCCAGTTCAACACACTTCACTCATCTGTAATTCTGTCAAATGATGCAGTATTTTTTGCTCAGTCGACCACCATCAGCATTCTTCACCGGGTCACCTTATTATTAGCGCAGCATTCCTGCTCAAGAATAACCCCATTACCCATGAACCCCGTCTGTCACTCACTGTGTGTTGATGACCAGTCGGTCCCACTGGCCTTTAATATCATCTTCTGACGGCTGTTCAGTGATGTACAGGCCGTCAAACTCCAGCTTCCTGGCCACTTCCTTCTCACGCTTGAAAATCACCAGAGGAACCTTGAGGAGAAACACAGTGGAAAGCGCCATCACTCACTTTTTAATGCATCACAGCTTAGTCTCTAATTTATCAGGGGTTGCCACAGTGGAATGAATCGCCAAGGTGGATGCCCTTCCAACACTCACACACACACACTAAGGACTATTTAGCTTACCCAATTTCCCTATAGCACATGTGTTTGGACTGTAAGGGAAATTGGAGTTCCCAGATGAAACGCATACTAACACGTGGAGAACATGCAAACTCCACACAGAAATGAAGCTGGGACTCGAACCAGCGACCTTCAATTCAATTCAATTCAGCTTTATTTGTATATCGCTTTTACAATGTAGATTGTGTCAAAGCAGCTTCACATAAATGGTCAAAGTAACTGGAACAGTGTAGTTCAGTTTTTAGTGTTTAAGTTCAGTTCAGTTGAGTTTAGCTCAGTTCAGTGTGATTTAATCATTACTGAGAGTTCAAACACTGAAGAGCAAATTCATCGATGCGTAGCTCAACCAATCCTGAACCTTGCGAGCCAGACCTTCTTGCTGTGAGGCCACAGTGCTAACCACTGAGCCACTGTGCCACCCCAAACATATATTTGTAACTAATAAATAACGAACATATACACGTAAGCGGGGTGTGTATAATGGCCAGGTATGGGTGGTTTTCTGGGAGACAGGGTGGGATTAAGGTCCATTACGGTGTTCCTTTGCAGTTTTACTAATTGAATCCACATTTCTTTATTTTTATTGTCATTTTCATTCATTCATTTTCTTGTCGGCTTAGTCCCTTTATTAATCCGGGGTCGCCACAGCGGAATGAACCGCCAACTTATCCAGCAAGTTTTTATACAGCGGATGCCCTTCCAGCCGCAACCCATCTCTGGGAAACATCCACACACACATTGTTGCATGTCTTTGGGCTGTGGGGAAAACCGGAGCACCCGGAGGAAACCCACACGAAGGCAGGGAGAACATGCAAACTCCACACAGAAATGCCAACTGAGCCGAGGTTCGAACCAGCGACCTTCTTGCTGTGAGGCGACAGCACTACCTACTGCACCACTGCTTTTTCCCTCTCTTTCTTTCTATTTGTTTATTTTTATTCCTTAAAATGTTAATCAATCCAATTTGTTTGCTCATGACACAGACAGATACACATTAACAAACACAGACAGACCCACACACACGGCTCTATTTTAACAATGTAAGCGCAAAGTCTAAAGCGCATGGAGCAAAAGCATTAAAAGCACGTCTGAATCCACTTTAGCTATTTTAAGGATGGATAACAGGATGGTCTAACAGGGTTGAGCTTATTCTCTTAATGAGTTCTGGATGTGTTTTGAGCCTGACGTGCATTAAACTAATCAGAGTCTCATCTCCCATTCCCTTCAAGAGTCAGTTGTGTCGCTCCATGGTGCATTTGCTATTTACATGCGGCGGACTTTGTAAGAGGAAAAACGGAACGCTTCACTAGCGAGAACACAGTTAAACAGAGCATCTGCAGCGCGAGGATAAAGAACAAGCCTCCTCCATTCAGCCTCTTTACGTTCTCTTTACTCCTTTACTTTGGTGGAGTGAGTAAACGGTGGAAACTCACTCCACTCAACACATCCATAAGCCCACATATTTAAAAATATGTTAAGTGCAAAGATTTGTGTCAAAACTATTTCTAAATTCAGTTCTAATCTCCAGCAAAGGAATAAATGAACAATAATAATGAAGTGTGGTCAGAAAACTTATATCTAAACACACCTCCTGTTCTTATCCCCATATGGTGATGCAGACGTCTCCGAAACCCCACAGATGGACAAATCTAAACGTGTTTTTTTAAGGAAAATATAAATCTGCATATAATAAAGGCATGGAGGTGAAGAAGGCATAGAGGCAGTGGTGTTTATATTGATGTAGAAAATCATCAATTCTGTAATATTTTAATCCTTTAATTGTTTTCATCTGTAAAGATGTTTGTGTGTTGCTGTTCATCCTGTGTGTATTCAGCAGTGTGTAAGTGTTTGGACCTGCATAGGCGCATAACTAATGTGCTCTGCTGGACTTTAGAGATCCATGATCAATGAGCACTAACACACCTCCTTTATAAACCAGAACACACATAAGTCCACAAAGTGGTGGAAATGGATGTGTTATTTAAACAATGTGGCGCAAAACGGGAAAATTAGTTGCGCTGATCTTAAAATAGCAACAAATAGCTCCAAACACGTCTTGTGCCTTATTGCACCGGGTGTACAGTATAATAGGGCCCATATAGATAGACATACACACACAAGAATACACACATACACAAAGACAGACAGACATACACACAGAGACACTTTTTTGTAGTTATATATATCGTTTTACGATTTATTACGATGCAAAAATGTCACAATATGCATCGTGGCGTTATGACGATTTCATTACGATATGACGTCCGTTTTCTCTTATTAGTTGAGCTGTTTGCACGTGAGCTACGTTCCACCTGCTGTCGCACGTGAGTTCAGATTGCAGCAGCAGTAATGTTAGCAGACCAAGATGAGTGGAGCTGAAATAGAGGATGGCCCATCTTCTCAAAATCAGACGTCTGGCAACATTTCGGTTGTACAGTCATTGCTTTAGACTCGTCCGCTTTTGACACGCATACTGGGTCAAACATCCTAAGTTTTGAAGTCTTCACAGTGATTTTCATACTTTGCACAGCGACAGGGATACCTCCTAATGGTGTTGAGAGAGTCACATGCTGTATTTATAAGGTACAATTCACCCTAAATATCATTCTGTCTTCATATAATGTTCCCGCCGCAAAATCACACATGACGTGAGCTGACCGTGAGCTGTTACTACAGAGGGCGGACTGATAGAGGCGCGCGTATGGCAAGCCGTTTTAGCATTTAAACCTTTGTTCTGACTATCCATAAATATATTTAGAGATATCTCTAATTATATTTTGACTAGTCATAATTATAATTCAACTAGTCAGAATGACAATTAGAGATATCTGCAATTACAATTGCACTAGTAAGAAATCAGATTGGAGATATCTGCAAATATATTATGACTAGTCATATTCCTCCATTGACTTCCATTGAAAAATATTTGCAGATATCTCTAAATGAGTTTTGACTAGTCACAATTGTAATTAGAGATATCTCTAAATGAATTTAATTAAATATGAATTAAATACCTGGAAATGTGGATTTTTTTGCACACACAAAAAACGCAAGTGACCAAGCAAAGCCTTAAGCTCTTACTGTTAAATTCAATTGAATAGAAAGCTTTTTTTTTTTTTTTTGCACCTTTACTTAAATTGTTCCTTAATTTTGTCTCTGTCATTTCAATAATATTTTTAAGAAGTTTTTAAATTGTTTTATTTTCCAGAAACAGGCCTGTTTAATTTATTTTCTTAAAGAAGGTTCAGTTTAACAAGTTGAAACATAAGAAATACATAAAAAATGGTTTACTTGGTAAAATTAGCATTTCAGTTTATTTTTCAATTTTTATTCCAAATATCATGATACATATCGAATCGTGAACATTATACCGTGATACACATCATATCGTGAGCTGAGTGTATCGTTACACCCCTAATATATATATATACAGGGCTTTACATTAACTTTCTTAATTACCGGCCACTGTGGCAAGTAGTTTTCCAATGTTACTAGCCACTCTGCATTTTCACTAGCCACAATTTTGTTGTTGGGAAAATATATTTTATATGCATAAATTTGACGTTGACATGCTAAAATGACTTGATTTAAATTATGTGTTATGTCCACATGCCTCCTCATTCATTTCACTTTTTGTGTGTCGAGTATGAGCTTGCTCAATGAGCATGAGCAAATGGGTCATTATAAATGGGTGTTTTATTGCAATTAGTTTTTATTTTACATGACTTTTTTTAGAGCTAAAAATTAACGATTTACCAAATTTCTCTCTATAACAACACTAAACAATAATTATTTCTTATAGCCACAAATTTTTAATGTGTCAAAACAAGCTAAATATAACTGTTTACTAAACTTTTTATTTAACAAAACATTTCTTAAAAAGAAAAGAAAAGCAATTGACTTTTAAAAAATATCTATTGTCATGTATCAAAAATATGCACAGTAATCTGTCTTGGCTAAAGATCTCTTGAATCACCAGTTAACTGCACATAAATGGAGAGTTCATCTCCCATTGAAGCAATGTTGTAAAAAAATGATAATAATTAAACCATTTTAACAAAAATAAAAGCAAATAAAACCGTAAGCAAGTAAAAGCAGGTGAAACATACCGTGTGTGATAATGAATGGATGATCACATGCACACGGTTAACTTTAGGCCATTTAATAATCTGTTCAAAGTGAAAGCGACCGGTGCTGCGGGTGCATGTTCATCAGTTTTGTCTAGTTTATTTGAAAGAGAACCGATGACAGTTGCGTTTCCAGAACCTGTTCCAGACACGGTTGCTTCACGATTCGGGAGCGCGCATCAAATCAGCGGTTAGCGTGAGTGATCATCATCCTCTCATTCGGTATTCACTTGTTTTCTTCAGCTTGCATGAACACAATTATTTTACTTTTCAATTTTAAGATCAGATTTGCACGCATTTTGGGTCATCCTTATATTGTCGAACCCTGCTTTTAGGACAATTTAAAAATTATTTTCAACCAGCCAAAGTGGCTAGTGGGATTGTCTGTCTAACCCGCCAAAGCTGAAATCTACCCGCATTTGGCGGGTGTTAATGTAAAGCCCTGTATATATATATATATATATATATATATATATATATACTCTGAGTATATATATATATATATACACTCAGATATATATATATATATATATATATATATATATATATATATATATATATATATATATATATATATATATATATATATATATAGATCCTACTAATATCTCTATATATATATATATATATATATATATATATATATATATA